CTGGGAGTCGAGGGTGGCCGAGTTAGTGGAAAGCAAGGCGGATTACGCCGCCCAGGTCGCTCGAATGCGCCTGCAAGTTGAACGTTCTGACCTACGTATGGGAGATTTGGTCGATCGTGTCAAACTTCAACAGTCGGAGATGGAAAAGTACATTCTGATGGCCGAAGAGGGCAGGGCGAGGACCGTGAAGGACCGGGAGACGATCGAGGGCCTGGTGAGAGACTACACGGCCTTGGTTTCCGAGTCGCAGGCGCAAGAAAGGCAGCAGGCATCCGCAATTGAAGACTTGGAGACCAAGCGTGACGAGCTTGTGGTGAAGCTGAAGGCCTACGAACGGAACATCATCCACTTGATAGACTCTCAGGCAGAGGCGGGGCTCAAGCACCAGGACGGGGGCGCGGCCAAGGCGGACAGCCATGCAGAAACTTCCGCTGTGGACAGTACCGCGACAATGACGGCGACAGTGGATGCCCTGCAAAAGGAAATTAAGGCAAAAGAAGAAAAAATAAAGCAGTTGCTCGCCTCTCCTGCAGCATCAGCCCCACACACAGCCCACCCTCCGGACACGGCGTTGCTAGAGCGCGCCCAGGTTGCCGAGGCGGAAGCCGAACGATTGCGTAAAGAGCTTGAGCGCGCGAAACAGTCCCTTGAGCAGGTCACGAAGGCAGGAGAGAAAGTAAGCAGTGACTACACAGCCCTGAGGGCCCGGCGGGACGAGGAGGAGCGGGCGGAGGCCGCTCTTCGGGAGGAGGTAACGGAGCTGCAGGCCAAGCTGGAAGCATCCTACAAGGGAGGCAAAGCGGAAATGGCAGCGCTGCAGGACCGGTTGGTGAAGATGGAAGGGGCCATGGTGCGGGAGGTGGAGGGAGCGCGCGTGCAGGCGAGAGAGGAAGCCAAGCAGACTTACCAGCGTCTGGTGGAGGTCGCGAACCAGGAGAAAGAGCAAGCCTTGGAGCTGTACGCCCAGGAAAATCGAAAGCGCAAGGCAGTGCACAACAAGCTGCTGGAGCTGCAGGGTAATATCCGCGTCTTGTGTCGAGTACGGCCTATGCTGGCGGTAGAGAAGGCGTCGGGGGAGGGCGGGGCGAAGGAGGTAACTGAGTATCCCTCCCCTGAGGACTTACTCGTCACCCGGGAGGACAAAGGTTCACGAAACAAGATGGCGTTCGAGTTCGACCGTGTCTTCGCCCCCGGCTCGAGCCAAGCGAAGGTTTTTGAGGCCGTTGCCCCTATTGTCACGAGCGTGATGGACGGGTATTCGGTATGTGGGAGGGTGTGATCGGGGAAACTCGCGCGGTGTCGCTTTCGCTCAAGCATTTGTGCGGTGTATGTTGTGCATGGAAGGCTCTGTTTGCTCCCAAACTTCTTGCATTCCCCCGACAGCTGTGTCGACCTCGTTGCCCACTGACCGGCGACACTGTCTCTCCTACCCCCTCTTCTAGGCCTGCATCTTTGCTTACGGCCAGACGGGGTCGGGCAAGACCCACACTATGGAAGGTCCTTCCGAGGACCGCGGCGTCAATTTCCGGGCTCTGGAAGAAATGTTCCGCCTACGCCAAGACCGGCAAGCTGACATGTGCTACACGCTTTCCCTGAGCATGCTCGAGGTCTACAACGAGACCATCCGAGACCTCTTGGCCGCCAAGGGCAAAGGCGGGGGGGCGGAGATGGCGAAATTGGAGGTCCGGATGTCGGACAACGGGAGCTACGACGTGCCTGGACTGACGCTGGTCGAGGTTCATTCCTTAGATGAGGTTTGGCAGTTCATGACAGCGGGGAAACAAAGCCGGGCAGTGGGCGCGCACGATATGAACGAGCACTCTAGTCGCAGCCATTGCATCGTCTCTTTGCGGGTGCGGGGTGAGAATCTGCACGATAAATCCCTGGCAACGGTTTCAAAGCTGCATTTAATCGATTTGGCGGGCTCAGAGAGGCTGTCCAAGGTATGAAAATGATGTTGACGACGGAGCATGTAGGAGGTAGTTTGCATGGACAGACCACAGAAAGCACAGAATACCGTGCTTGAGATGCACACAACGGGCATGATGCCAGACTTGAACTGCATTCAAAACCTCGTCTGTGCCCCGTAATCGACTCAACATATCGTTTTTCTCTGTCGTTCTTGCATCTCCACGTTACAGACCGATGCCACAGGCGATCGCCTTAAGGAGGCTCAGAACATCAACAAATCCCTGTCTGCCCTTGGAGACGTCATCAACGCGCTGGGCAGCAAAAACAAGGCTCACATTCCCTACCGAAATAGCAAACTCACATTCCTCCTTCAGGATTCCTTGGGGGGCAACAGCAAGGTAAGCCTGGCTGGAGGTTTGAGAGAGGGCTTGACGGGTCACCGACTAATTCACGTTGATGTCATTTGTCGCTCCTATATTTCTGTTTCCTTGAATTAGGTTTTAATGTTTGTGAATATCTCACCGGCTTCATATAATGTAAGCGAGACTGTTTGTTCGTTGCAATTCGCTGGGCGTTGCCGTGCTGTCGCCCTGGGCGTGGCGAAGAAAGGTGTGGCTGACAACGGTGCGGGGTTGGTTGAAGGAGGGGAGAGGGAGCCCTTGCAGGAGGAGGAACAAATAGGAAAGGCACGCGGAGGAAGAGGAGGGATTGCAAGGCCAAGGTCGACTTCGCCCAAGGCTCTGACGTCATCGCCGGGAGCCGTGGGGATCGGGAACAGGACCTCGCCGTCTCGAAGCACACAGAATAGTGCTTTGTCTCGGTAAGGCTTAGACCGGCGGATATGGGATTGCATGAGCAAGCATGGACACGGCCATGTCCATCGTTAAGAAAAAGAAAGAAGTTGTGTGTACGTAGACAAACCTCCCATTTTTAAAGGCTTACTCTTTGAGGTCAAGATTAATGCTTTACTTTTTGGATACTTGATACATAGAGCCTGGCTCCTTGCAAGCCACTTCTTCCGCTCTTCTCACGTTCGTACAGTACTCATGTCTAAGGCAAGCTGAGTTATCCGCACTGACGTAAAGAGGTGCCCGCACAAACAACCTCCCACCGTCATCGGGAAGACAGCGTTCTTCTGTTCCATTTGGACTCTGCCGTCCTTGCTCGTGATCGGTATAACGCAGGTTCCCAGCTGTCCCTTTCTACCATCGCGAAGAGAGAAGATGGCATGGAGTCCTCCGTAGTCCATGCGAGTACAGGAGACGACAGTCACACCGTTCTTCTTCGCCGCGCGGTAGGACATGAGGGAGAAGAAGTTGAAAGGATTGTACTCGACCTTGTTTGTCAAGAAGACAATCTGTTTGGAAACCGCTGCCACGATGGCTGGCCGACGGAGGGTGCTAAAGCAGTCTTCGTTGTCCAAGGGGAATAGGACAAAAACGCTAGCCTCGTCCCGAGGCGCCGAGCCATTACCTGCCGGACGGTCTCCCTCGTGCTTACTGCTCCCGCCCGCCCTATGTATTCCCATCTGGTTGGCAGCCAGCAGCTCAACCCGCAGGTCCGTAAGCTCCAGAATATAGAAGCAAGCGTCGTGGACCGTAATCACGTCGCGATTGTGGACTATGGACGGGTTCTGGAGGCAACTTTTGGCTTGGTGGAATGAGTTGAGTCCCCGGACAGCCACATTCACGCGGGCGGTCACGAGCGTGGAGACCGGGCGGTGGTCCGAGCCCTGCAAAGCGTCGCACATCTCGTAGGGTCCCAGACGGATACGGTCTTTGAAGTCCTCCACCACGTGCAAGAGGATCCGGTCGGTGTAGGAGGGGATGCGGGTCGTCCCTTGCCTTTGGACCTTCTTGGCCCCCGCCGGTGCTCGGCTGGAGGCGGACACATCCTCCCCGTCCCTCCCGTCTTCGCCGTTCTCCATGCCGCTGCCGTTATACGAGCGGGAAAAGGCGCGAGTGGAGCTCGACTCCCACCCGCTGGATGCATACGACGGCGTCCTACTCGACGACTGCTCTTCCAGGGCCTGTCCTTGTGAGTCACGCTGCAGAAAGCGATAGTAGGGGGCGAGTATCCTGAGCCCGCGGTTCAACTTTTTGAGCGAAAGAGTTTTCTCCTTCACAACTGTGCTGTACGCACTTTTTAGGGTTTCTACATCGCAATAGTCCCCACACTCCCCGTGCGGGCCTTTAATTCTCCGGTAGGACGGCGGAAAGCGGATCTTCCCCTCCTGAAAACCGTAAAAGATTGCCCCCTTCTCCATCCCTTGCCGCATCTCGTCGTCCCGCAAGAGCTGCTCCCAGGACGACGCGTGCGACCTGGCCCGCAGCCGCGAAAAGGACAAGTTGGTCCTTTGTTCAGGGGGGGGTAGCGGGTGCTGGAGCCCACCCATCTCGGACGCCCCGGGCAGGCGCCTCGTCCCAGAGGCCGGGCCCGGGTCCCGTCTCCCCTCCTCCAGGTCAGGCCCCTCCGCCTTATGGCGCACGGCCGATTCCAGCGAAGACTGGGGCCTTATCCACAGGTGCTCCCGTATGGAGGACCAGAGGCGCGCACTCCACGTCCGGCGCCGAGCTTCCCATCGGCCCGGGTCGCCCGGTTCATCCAAGCCCCTGGCGGCAACCTCCATGGGCCCCTCCTCGGAGAGGTAGGAGGACGCTAGCCTCTTCATGGTCAGCTTGGCCATCTCCGTGTTCGAGGGCTCCAGGTATTCCTTGACTTGTCGGACCAGACTCGAGACCCCTTGCCGCTCCTGCTCGCAGCAGACCTCCTCCGCCTCCTCGTCCACGGGATCCTCCTCCAGCAGCTCTGGCTCCTGCTGCTCCCCTTCGTCCCCCCCGCTTTCCAATACCCCTGGCTCATCCACACCCCCACAAGGCTCGCTATCGCGGACCCCGTCATCCTTCTCTTTCCTCCCCCCCTCCAACGGCGTTCCCTCCCCAGGGCCCGGGCCCCCATTCCCAGGCGCCAAGAGGAGGGCGTACCGATCCCGCCGCCACTCCTCCTGGCCGCCGCACAGAACGTCTCGTTCCCGCCGGCAAATGCTCGCCACGTCCTCCAGCACCTTCTCCGGATCCGTCCTCCGCAGGCGGTAGTTGACATCCCCAAGGAATATGCAGACGTGGTGCTGGTGATGCACGTCCAGCAGGTACTCCTCCCGCCACAAATTCGTTTCGTAAGTCAGCTGCCAGGCATCCTGATTCCGCTTGTCCAGCCGAGAGCGCCCCTTCAGGTCCGAGGAGAGATGGCAGGCGAGTAGGGCGAAAGTCGTGTCGTAGTAGCGGAAGGCGAGCCCCACGCCTCCCTTGTTCTGGGCGGTGGTCACCCCCAGGTTCTTCCCTCGGGCCACGGCACTGTTCTTGGACTCGTGGAGCAGGAACCGGTTGGCTTGCACCTCCTCCGTGCGCGCCAAGACCAGCAAGGCGATCAAGCCGTGGTAGCCCAGGGACTGGTAGGTGGAGCCGATGGCGCGGCGGTACATGACGTACTTCTCTGGGCCCCCCAGATGGGCGAGGACATCTTCTCCCAGCCGGCGATAGACCATGCACTCCTGCAGACCCAGCACGTACACGTCACGGTCCCGGGGAATCCAGGCCGCGAGCGCCTCCGGCCCCAAGGCTTTCGACTTGCACTCGCCCAGGTTGTAGGTGCTGATGAAAAGCTGCTTGTCCTGGAAGGAGGGCACCGGGGGGTCGGTGAAGAAGGGGAGCGGGTAGGCTTTCCCGATCAAGGTCAAGCGCACGGGCTCAGCGGCACTGGCCAGGTCCATGGAGGTCCTTCGCTTGGCCCCACGCTTTTGGCCCAGACAGAAATGCCGGTAGAAGCGCGCGAGGCGGACGACCCAGTCCTTGGGGGAGTAGAAAATGGCGTCCACGGGCCCCCGGAAGGCAATGGTCAGCATCTCCATACCACTCAGGAAGGGGGACTCCGCCCCGTTCCGCCAGATATACGCACGTGCGAGCACGCGGAAGACGTAGCCGTAGAGTATGACGGCCACACCAATAAAGACCAAGCGCGTGACCATGCCGTCGCTGAGACGCCGGAAGAAGTTCCCGTGGTAGACAGTGAGCAGGCGCACGGCGTGCCGATGCTGCGTGACGCGGGCCAGACGGACGATGACTATCATGGACACAATCCAGGTGAAGAAGACCAAAGTAAAAAAGGCGTAGAACTGTGTGGACACGCTCGTCAACCAACACAGGGAGCCTGACCGCCCGAACTCACGGGAGGCCGCAAGCGGGATGCATACAAAAGTGGACACTAGCACGCAAACCAGGATGGATCGATTGAAGTACTCTTTCGTATCAGTCATGTCCCTTTTCCTAAGCATGAAATGGAAGGGATGCATCACCATGCGCATGATCAGGGCCAGTGTCATCACCTCTTCGAGCTGGAAAAAGAACCCCAAGAAACTGCAGCCGATCGAGTCTCCCCTCACGAAGAGGCCCCCCAGCAGTATTAAGCAAAGACAGCCATCTAAAATGGCTTTCAAGAGGAGAAAGTTTTCGAACAACCGAGCGACACTTTCGTTGGCCAAGTCAACTCTTTTTTGGAAGACCCGATGCCGCGCTGTGATGGCTACCGGGATGATTGCCAGGCCGGCAATGGCACCAGTCGCGCATATTACCCGGGACGTGTAAAGCTCCTCCTCCGTGGAATACCAAGGACCGGTAAAGCCCACAACCATGATCCAGTCTCTTCAAAAAGTTATATACCTCTCAGTATTCGGGGCGGCATGCGAAATAACTTTCCATCCGTGCACTTTGACAGCCTTGCTCCGAAAGCACATGTGTACGAAATTATCCTGTGCCGTGTTTGGTGTATGCATGCGTATGAAAGGATTCGGTGAGGCAAAGTATTTGATGGCTCGGACGTTGTCAAAGCCCAGGTTAAACTTTCAAGGTATGCGAAGCGAAGGGCTTGAAGACACCGTGTTGAGATAGTTCGAAACAAACGCCATGGGCTTCTTCGCTTGCAAACAACTCACTCGTCCTCAATTACAAATGTCTCCTTCGTTTGCAGACAACGTACAAAAGGAATGAGGGGGCGGACGCAGCGACGTGCATGTGTCATGGAAGTTTTCGGTATTTTGGTCTAATTCATGACAGACTCCCACGCGCTGTTCCCTCTCGGGCTTGCAGCCGTTGATAAAAAGGCACGGACGTCATCTTATCCACATGCGTTAATCGACCCTAGGCGATATCTGTCATTGCGTATAATGCCATGGCTGAAATATTCTTTGATCATGGAAATCAATTGTTTATGGTGTCCGTTCTAAAGGCGATTTAAGAAGAAAGGTGCCACGGCACGGCCACAGAGACTGAGGAGGAGTTACGTTCCCGGGCATCATCACTTTCCTTTCCCCCTAATGTGCATTTATTGAACCTCGCTGAACATAAAATAAAATAAACAGCAAATTTAAGTTAAGCACGTAAGGAATATGCTTTAAAGTAGCGTGATAAAATTGCGGGAGCTGAAACAGGGGAGTGGAGCCACTGACCCTCCAACGCACTTGCATTCCTGTCATACGAAAAGAACCGCGAGTACCCCCTAAACTTGTGAGGAACATGGAAATCGACCATTACAGTAAAATAATCGTGTAAAGTTTGAATGTAAAGGCGACTCAACAGCAAGGAAAAAATAGCGTTCACGCATCGAAAGTGTCTTCAATGATGCCTACGTTAGGCTATGTGCTCGTACCATTGGTGGTACGTGTATGTACAATGCGTTCCCTAAGAAGTTTTTGACTGTGAGAACTAGTATCAATAAGATGGTGGTTCTCATAGCACAGGCGAACCTGCGGAAATGAACTTAGACCCAACAGCAACAGCAGACAAGTACTGATAGCGGCCAGCGTCGCAGTAGCTGAAGAGAGGTCGAAAGATATTGCGAGAAAAGCATGATTTTGTGAAAAAGGTTTTCATCTACTTCTGTGTGTCATGTGAAAGCATACAGAGTAATAGGCAAGCATGTCATTTTGACCATTAATCCTACAATTCTCGTCACGAGTACATGTTATGTTCTTAATCCTTCCTTTGTACTCACGTGTGCGTTCCACGTTAGTCCGCCTTCCGCGTTTGCTGCTGGTTTTTCAGACAAACATACCCATGCAAGGTGATATTTTCTTCTTTCTCAAATAGATTGATCGAGTTCACTAACTCACCTCGCGCACTGTTCCAAAGCATGCACACATAAATACAGATAGCGTCGACTTCAAATATTTTGTCTTCCCATTTTGTCATTACTACCGACTAATCTTACGGCCCACCTTTCCTTCTCTATACGAACCCCTCCATGTGCTCCTTCTACAAGCATGTTGTCTGTTCCCAGAGCCCACCACCCCTTACAATACTCAGAATCATGTCTCAGCACATTTTACTTACTCGACTCTTGTTTCTTTTACATGTCTTCAATACCAGATTCCCCTTATATTCTCCCATCCTAATTCTATTCCATTTAGCTTCAGGGAAGAAATTCAACAACAATTTTTCATTACCCCTTCCTTGTCGTTTTTACTCGACAGTGACACCGTATCGCCACTCTTTCCTGAAGCCGCCCCCCCAGGACCAGGAGCGGCTGCACCCTTGGCCTCACGGAGACGAATGAGCTCTTGTGCCATGGTCAGAAAGGCCTCCTCGACGTTTGAGGCGTTCTTGGCCGACGTCTCCAAGAAAGGGATGCCCAACTCGTCCGCGAATTTCTGTGTTATCGAGTCAAATTGAATTACATAGAGTAAGTGAGGCTACATTGAAGAAAATAAGATTTTTCGCGTCCGCTGCGTGTCATCACTCCAAGGCGCGCGGTCTCTCGCAGGTCCTATTGAATGCATCATTTGCCTTTAGACCTGCGTACCTTGGCCCGCTCCGTGGAGACGACCTTGTCTGGTCGGTCGCTCTTGTTCCCCACAAGGAGCTTGCATGTGCCCTCTGAAGCATAGCGATTCACCTCATTCAGCCAGTCTTGAATATGCTCGAATGATTCCTGGGAGTGGAAGGCAGGTAAAAAGGCAATTAAATGGGCCCGGATATTGCAGCTTCGAAGCACTGAAATTAAGCACAGGAGTGTCGAGAAAGGATACTTTCCCCCCCGTGGGGCTTGAAAGCGACTTCTATGCACAGGCATGAATTCTCTGCCCTTTACCCGCGTCTCTAAATGACCCCCGCCCTTGATTATTCGCACCTCGTTCGTAACGTCGTATACCATGATGATACCATCCGCCCCTCTGTAATAGGCGGACGTGATTGTGCGGAAGCGTTCCTGCCCTGCCGTGTCCCACTAGCGGTAGTTGGTCGAGAAGGGCAGGACAGGGGGAGGGTTGCGTGAGTACGAAAAGATTCTCAGGGAAAAGTGGAGGATAAAGCGGCACTGCTACATAAGCTTCGAATTCATAGCACTATTGACGTCTGACGTTGTGAGTTAGATTCGAGAAATCATGGCATTACTCCCCAGCCCAGATAGTCTTCCCTCGACGCATTCTCTCGCCTATGAGCTTATGCTTCCCTGCATGCCTCCCACTTACGATTTGCAGCTTAAACGTCTTCTTGTCAATTTTCACTGTGCGAAATCGCTGTCATGGCGAAACAATGTGCGGGCGGTAGCGAATAGTAAATGAGGGATGGGAAGCAGCATGGGCGGTAGCTACAATGGGGAAATGTCGTGGACCGCAACAGAAAACGTAATTTGACCTACAAAATTTCGGCAAGCACGCGCATAATATCGCGACAAATTTTCTAAGGGATGGCTTTTCGACAGCTCTTCCTTGTCCTGTCTGATTGAAATTACTTACAAAGTCGACGCCGATTGTGGAAATGTACGAGTCCGTGAAGGCGTCATCCGCGAAGCGCAGAAGCAGGCAAGACTTGCCGACTCCCGTGTCCCCGATCAGCACGAGTTTGAAAAGAAAGTCATAATCACGCTTGGACATGGTTGTGCTTCGTATAACTCGTAACTTGTCTTATTCGTAAACGGTCGACGGAGGAAGGTTGCTTCTGATCTTCCTGTTCCGCAACGGCTGTCAGTACTATTAGTGCAAATGTGTGAAGGAGCAAATGAGAGAGGGTCAGCGATTTACGCTACCATGGGTAAAGGTCAATTGTGAGCAAGTAGCTTTGAGCCTTATACGATTGAAAACCGAGGGCATGGACCTGGCGCCAACACGTTTTTTCCAAGGCCCGTTACAGCACGAGACTGACAGGAGAATGACGAAGGAGGATTGGGATCCTAGGCAAAAACTGTGCGTTAGCCCCTGTTTTTGAACTCGGAGAACATCCGTGCACAATTATGGAGGGCGCGTTGAATTAAGGAGTGTTGAATTTGAAGGCAGGGCAGGGGACCTAGTGACCGTATTAGTGACCACATAACGGTCCCTGGGAGGACGCTCGCTTTCTGATGGGATGCGCCTTCTAAGATTTAATTGCGCGAAGGAAGAGAGCAGTTCAGACATCCATAACGGAGCATTAATCGCGACGATATATTCTTCTTTTCATTCGCTGTACTACCTTTTAAGTCCAATCGTACATAATGTCTCAAGCATCTTGATATTTTAAATTCAACCGAAAACGGGCGGCCCATGTAAATCAACTACGCCTACTGTTCAAGTGTGCAAATTGCCACTCTTTGCAGTGTGTCATCTATCTTTCACGTCTGCCACAGTCTTGCCCTACAACTCCATAATCAGACTCGGAAAGCCCCTAAGGAATAAATCGTAGGAGGGGTAGGCCCCGAAGGCAGCACTGGATGCACCATCACATCCAGGTCTTCCTCAACAACGCTACGAAGATAGATATTTCGCGCGCCATTGACGTCTCGATCGCCTATCTACGAACAAGACCGACAATTGAATTTTTTGTTCCCATGCGAATTGGCGTGGATGCTCCCGCAATAGGTGCAGGTATTGTTTGTGTAGGCCTCGTTCACGATCATCACCTTGGTTTCTTTGTAATTGAGAGGCTTGCCCAGCAATCGCTGGCGGAACTTATAGTGGGAGAAGATGAGCATAATCCGCGCCATTTTGCTGCGGATTTTGCAAGTCGCAATTCTGACCATTTTTGTCGTAAACTTGGGCATTAAGATTACATTCTAGCTCTCGCAAAGGTACTCGGCGGCCTTGACATGGGAGGTCAGTAATGCAAAGTGCAGGTCG